GTTACAACGGTATAACATGACTGTGACATACCGCAAAGGAGTTCACATGGGAATGCCTGATGCTTTGTCAAGGTTAGCAGTTAACTCTTTCTCACTCAATGAACTCTGAGCAGAATTGTCTCTACGGTGACGAATGTGCTTCTTTGTGGGGGGACTTGTGTAAAGATCGTGACTTGTAAAGATCATGACTCGTAAAGATCGTGATTTGTAAAGATCATGACTTGTAAAGATCGTAACTTGTAAAGATCGTAACTTGTAAAGATCATGACCTGTAAAGATCGTGTAAGAACGTGAAATATAAATAATAGGACAAGAACTTGCATTTTACGGGGGGGGGCAACAAGAGGAGAATTCGGAAGATTTTTATATATATATTTTGTTTTGAGAGAGTGAGTTTAAGATTTTGAGTATTTTAATAGTTGTAAGAGTTTTAACTGTAATAGTTAAGAGTTTAAAATTTTAATAGTTTAAGAGCTGCAGCATTTTATTTTTTTGGTTCTGTTCTAAAATTCAAATAAAAGTATTTTGTTCATTCTGAAAATTTAGCTTTGTTCTTCCTACAAGGTTCAATATCCGTTATATTGAAATAAGGAAAGAATTTTTACTATGTCGTTATCATTAAGTATAAAATGTCTGAAATGGAACTATCCCGCTACCAGAATAGAACGATCATTTACTTCTAGTTCTGTTGCAAAAAGTCAGCTACAGAATGTCACCAGATCATGCGTAGAGCTTTAGGCACTAATGTTGAATCATATAACACTGTGAGGGTTTTGTACCGAAAGTTCAAAACAATGACTATGTCATTCAAGAAGCAGGGCGCTCTTGCCGGTCTTATTGATGTTGATGAGGCCCGCCTGCGATAACTTGTGGAAGAAGATCAGTACATAGCCACTTGAGAGCTTGCTAAGGTGTTAAACTTCAGGGCCATGTCCATTAGTCGCACTATGCATTGCATAAGCTTGACGGATAAGGTCAATCGCTGGGTGCCGCATGAGCTGACTGAAGCAGATAAGAACAGACGTGTTTGGGCCTTTACTAATCTGCTCGAATATCAACGCAAGGATAAAATTCAGGACCATAACTTTATTAAGATCATTTTTAGGCGGAAAACTTTCGTTACAACCAGATATGGTAATAATTAAATATTACATAATACAGTAGAACACCGTGTTTACGTCTTTCAAGCGACTATTCAGAAACTACGTATAAATGTATTAAGCTGTATAAAGCTGTATAAACAAAATTTTAATTTACAATGTGAACATATTATATATATATATATATATAATTACGTCACTCATAATTACTTTTATTCAGAATATATATATAAAAAAAAATTTTAATTCACTAATTTTAAAGCTTTTCTTCTTATTTTCTTTACATATATAAAAATTTTAGTCACACACGTACTATGTTGTTTTTAGATAATACGAGCAGATATATGTATGTGGCTTGACATCTAGGGGATTAGTAGAGAGAAAAGACGAATATACGTTATTAGATTATTTAATGGAACTATTTGTGATGCAGGCTGATGTGTCTGATTATTTACAATGAAGTATTGACACAAAAATTTCGACAACGGAGGTATTACGTCTTTTAGTTGTCATCTTTCTTTCACGTCACATCTCTTCTTAACCGAATCGAGCAGTCATCTTCAATTCCATCATCCTCTTGCATCGCTCTCTCACCAGTCGCACTCCTAATACGTACATATACTCGTATATTAGCAGCACAGTTTTGATACTACTAATCTGCTACTGATATTACATTATTTTGTTATTGCACTTTCAATTTGTTTAAAACACTAACTATGATCGAACAGATTAAAAATTAATCTCTACATATAATAAAAAAAAGAGTCTGTGTGTGAGTGTCTTTCGTTTGCGCTGCGCGTAAGCTAATAGACCCACGGCTACGAAATTAGGTACATAGGTGTATCTAAACAAGATCCAGTGCAGCTTGAAGCGATTTTTTAGAAATTCGAATTAGAATTTTTTTAATTTTATGTTTTGTGACGAAATCGCATCATTTTGAGACATAATGGGCTATAGAAAAACGATATTTTACTCTACACACTCCATTTTCACATCGTCATGAAACGTAGGCACTTAGCTATTTTACGAACTTAAAATAAATTTCGTGTTTCAATAAATCGATTAAATACGAATTTATTTAACAAAGGGAGCTTAACACTTTTTCAACGGGATTTTTTCTAAAAAGGTTTATTTTTCTTTGATTTTTGGGACACGTTAAACTTCCATCCTTGCGACTTGCTTTTACAAAAAGAATTTTGGAAAAATGATAATATTTTGTATTTAAAGAACATTTTTTTAAATGAAGCTTCCGAGCACACGTTCTCACATCTTCACATCTTTAAAAATGTGATTTTGGCAACAACTTTCCTGTTCTTATTGTTGTTGATAGATTTTGATGAAATCGTACATCATTTTGAATAGTTTCATTCTTTTAGAAATATGGGTTTGGCAACAATTTTTCATCGTATTTCTTATGTCACTCTTTTTAAGAGATTGGCATATTTCATTGTCATTTATATATAATACAAATACATTATTATTAATTTTTTTTGATAAAGTTGTTCTGCAGAGTAGAATTCTGCGCGTAATTTTATGTTTTTTGAGTCGCTTTTCTGTTATTTTTTGCTTATTTCACTGTTTGTAAGATATTGAAAAGTTTTGCATGATTTGTTTTCTTCAACGGAAAGTTGGTTAATTTTTTATTAGGATAATTAATATTTGTATTAAGGGATATAGCTTATTTCATTGTAATTTTTTTCTCTTGAAAATATAAGATAAAATATCATTAATTATACTTTGCTTTTCAGAATTTTTTTTTTTTTGTATTCTTTATGTTATTTATTGCTCATTTCACTGTTTTTAAGACATTTGAAAAGTTTTGGGTGATTTTTTAGGAAAACAAAGTTCTTAACCTCCTTTATACCATTTGAGTTCTTAAGATTTTGCAAAGGGAAGTTGGTTATTTTATTTATTATGATAATTAATATTGTATTTAAGGGATATTGCTTATTCATTGTTGATTTTTGTTATACGTAATAACTTTTTTTATGAAGTTGTTCTACAGAGTAAAATTCTACGTAGTTTTTAAACTTAACGTTTAATGTTCCCTTCAGCCATTTTCCCGGTGCATTTAAAAGCCAGACGAAAGCTGGCAGCGAATCTGCTAGTATTTAAAAAAAATATTTAATTAATATTAATATTTTAAAGAATTGTTCATGATTAATCTTTTAAAAAATGATATTACTACAAATTAAATATTTTTAAAACTATAAGAATGCAGATTTCTGCATATAATTGCGTAAAATTGAAAAATAAAAGTTGTACCTTTACTCGAATTACCATTTTGATCAAGGAATATTTTTTTCCAAGATTATTTTAAAGTAAATTTTAACTTTATTTAAAGGAAAAGTCCTTATTTATCGTCTGACGTATCTTCTGATCCTTAATTAATGCTCCATGAATTCAATTCTTTAAACGTTTTCTCATTTGTGCTATTACACACAAATTTCTGACAGTGCTAATGCAGTAGATAGCATTTTGAAAAGAAAACGGATTATTTTTCATTTCGTTCTTCATATCCGTTACTTAAATGTTCATCTGGTAAGGGTTTTAAATCAGTTCTTCAACTGTGCATTAAGTCTGATATCGTTACATTGGCATTACAGTTTACGTAGTCCTTGATTGTCATGTCTAATTACAGTAATTTCTAATCTTCTTCATCTATAATCATAGCTTCATCAACATTTTCATCGTCAATACTTTCACTTAATTCTGGATTCGAAAATCCTCCTTTAAAAGCCATTTTTAATTGCTTTTGGTTTTACCTAAGAGTAGGTAAGTGAAATTATATTCAAAGCCTCAAGAATACTTAAAAGTTTTCTGTGTATTACCTGTAGGTATATTTTGAAGGGCCATTTGAATCAATCTTTGCCTGTAGAACATTTTGAAATTCTTAATGATTCACAGAACTAAAATTTTAACATGTTTTGATGCCCCTTGGTTTTTCTGACCTATGACTACCGTACCATCAGCATTTGCACAAAGTAAAAACTGACACTTTCTTCACTTGAAAAATCTTTCTCAACTTGAAAAATAGGATTCTTGCACATATAGAAAAGAGAAATTTCATCAACAGCAAAAATGTCTTCTAATTCATATCCATCTATTTCGGTGAATGAATTTTTGAACCACTTTTCAGCTGACTCAGCAGGAAAGCTTTTTAATTCTGCATTTAATGTACGCATCAAAGTCCATGCCGCAGTTTAAATTTATGCAGCCATCCAGGTGAAAAGCAAGCTTTCTTCAAATTCAACAAAGTAATTTCTGTTGACTTCTCGATTAATATGGGGCCATTCACTGGAATATTGGATGTATGACACTGAATGAAGAATTTTAGCAAAATGGCTTCGGCCTCAGGAGACTTTCAATCCTGAATACCCAACTTTTTTGAAGAGGTCTGTTTTACAAATTTATGCTCTTTCTTCAACTTTTTATCATAAACAACCGTTTTTAGTGTTATCACTGGAATATCCAGTTTCTTTGCTAACTCAACTTTCGCCAAACCAATACTCTCACCAAGTTCCTTAAAGATTTGAATTTTATTTTTTAACGAGAATGCCTTTCATTTTCGTGACATTATGTATCAGTTGATTCCGCTCTACCTAAAGACGGTGTCCTGTTCAGAAGGAAAAAATAACGTATTTATTGTTCCTTTCAGGTATCCCTTTCTATTCATGAACTCCGTTTTCAACTCCTATACCAGACTATGATGTCTCGTGCCTTTGTTTCTTTCGCCTGTCCCCATTTCTCTGAAAAATACCTGAACGAAGGGACTGGGAAATGTAAACAAATGAGAAATCTATAAACGCTACTCTACAGTAGTAATAATTATGATACCTACAACTAATTTAAATATAAGGGAAAATAAAGCACCTATTATATATTTCGCTGGATACTTACTGCAGCTACAGTAGTATCTTATTTTGTAGTCCTTGCAAAGACGACTTGACTGGTCCCGTGCTCGACATCTGAAGCCTCCATGAAGAGAGCACATAAGTTTTTTGTCTCCTGTTTCCGAGTAATAAAGGTCCGTATCGGCCTCTCTGCATTCGATGTCAGATAAATAACCCTACAATTGCAGAAAAAAATTATTTCTTAACAGTCATTTACTTCTTTTACAATTTGCACGCATTGATTACTTTCATTTTTCAATAGAGTTTTAGAATACGTTACTAAAAACTACTGTGAATTGCAATACAGTGGATTATCTTCATGAGGATACTTACTATAGCGACCGTTCCATTATAACAGCCAGTGATGTTCCCTGATGATGACAGTATCAAATCCATTTTTGCCATTGCAAACTGTCGTCCACTTGTATGCGACGCGTCATATTCTGTAGACGTTATAACAAGCATAAACAATATTAAGCAGCGTCATTTTCTAACTAAAGATAGTTATTATTATTTTTTTTTTTTGTTGAATTCTTTTCTTTCCCCCCTTTTTTTTGCGTTCCTTTAAAAAATATTGTGCATTTTAACTTTCAATGCACAGAAATTTTGGAAATCAGGAAGCTTACTCAAATCATGGCAATGTGCTTGATTTTGAAGTACGCAAAGCACTTTAAACCAGGCCACGTTTGCTAGAGATTACCGAAAGTTTTACACGAAATTTACAAGTATAATGCGGAATCTTTTACTATGCAACGATAATGACATAATAAAAACTTCAAGAAAGGTGGGGCATACTTACTGAAGTAAAATTTATTATGGCTTCAAAGCTTTAAATTAATTACATTTAGCCTGTAGCCTAATTAGAGAATTGCATAAAAGCATTTCAAGTTCGAACATTTATCACTTTGTATTATTGATATTTCCCTTCAACATTTTAAAAGGCTTAACTAACTTGTAGGGCTTTGCTGTGTCTAGAAGCTTAATTTAATGCCCTACTAGAAAGAAAAGTAAGTTATCGCTTTAGTCTGAAGCAATGAAAAGTCATAAAAAGGTTAAAATAACCATTTTATTTAACTCTTTAAGTGAACAGAAGGCAAGGAACTACTTAAGCTATAGACGGACATCCACTACTTGCAGAATTTGAAATAACATAAGATGAAATTAAATTTAAATTTAGGTAACGGAGCCTTAGTAAAGTAAGTAACCCTATCAAATTTTATATACTGAAGCAGAGATAGATTTATGAAGTTTTTATTACGTATTTGACGAGCACTCAGTATATCGACCTTTGCTGCTACATCTACAGGGTGTATCAGTACAGCGTTGACAAGGTTTCAGGAGATATAGAGTTCACGTAGACGATGGGAAATCACATAGGAATGCATGGTTGGAAACGCTTTCCTGGGATGGTAGTAACGACACACAAGTAAAGAAATAAAGGACACAAACAGTGAGACAAAACATGTTTTATTAAGTTTAGTACAGCAGAAACCTACAAATAAGAAAAAAAAAAAAAAAAAAAAAAAGATCGTCATTAAAGAAGGTGTTCGGAATTACGACCCGGACCGTGATGCAGGCCTCACTTATGTGGCGCATGGAAGATCTGCATCACGTATGGAAGATCGCATGAAAGATGCATGACGCACGGTTCTTGCATCACAGTCCGTGTTGTAATTTCCAACAACTTCTTTGATGACGATCATTGTCTCTTTATGTTGTTTTTTCTTTGTTTTGTCGTACTCCGAATAATAAACATATTTTCTCACCCCGTTCGTGTACTTTCTTTCTTGACTTTTGTGTCGTCACTACAGTCCCAGAAAAGCTTTCTGACCATGCATTCCTATGTGATTTCCCAGCGTCCAGGTGTACTCTGTCTCTCATGAAAGTTTGTCAACGCTGTACTGATACAACCCTGTACATGCGTTACTAATATATCTTCACTGCCCATTTGTGCCGCTGGAAAAACTTAGACAAGCTAGCTGATACTAACGAAATGATGGTGATTTTTTCTTTCAAAATGGACATTTGTTTAGCTTACTACAACAGACGTCATTATAAAGACCATCCGCAAGAGTGTCTCAGTCAAAATTTTCAAAAGATAGAGACCATTTGCAAGACTATCTTAAACAAAATTTGCTGTGAAATCACCTGCGAGATTATCTTAAACAAAACTTGCCATGAAGCTAGAGATCATTTGCGTTTGCAAGACTACCTTAAACAACATTTATCATAAAAATACAAATCAGATGCAAGACTATCTGAAGCAAAATTTGCCACAAAGATAGGGATCATTTGAGAGACTATCTTAGCCATATTCTTCTACTGAGATGAGTAGGGCGTACAGGACGAAGAATTGATCCCTTATGCTGCAAAACCACAATCTTCTAGTTTAACTTCATGTGAGGTTTCCTTGTGCGGGTTTGTCAAATATACTAAATTTAAGCACTGCCGTTCGTTAATCTCTAAGATCATGAAAATCGTATAATTGATCAAAGGTGGATGGGGGTGATATGAAAGGTGCGGCCAATTTCCATAAGTGTGTCGGCACTTTTATGCACGTTGACCATTATTCGCCAAAGTACAAGGTTGCATCAGCATTAAGACACAAAGGTGCCCGGCATCTTTATGAAGTTTAGTATATACCATTAAGAATGTAGCTTTCATGAAGATTTTGGGGCGCTCCTTTCAAGATCTAGCTGAGTAATCGCCAACTTCAATAAAGGCGTTGGCACTTTCTGCAAATTAGCCACTGTTCATCAAGCCAAGCTTTGAGTTTTACAAGGGTGTCAGGCACTTTCATGAAGTTCAGTTTGCACCATAAACGATGCAAGCTTCATCACGCCGGGACGCGCATGATGAGTCTCTATTTCAGTGAACTGTCACTGACGTGCATAAAGGTGCCTGCAACTTGTTAAATTAAATTTAGAACTTTGAGAAAAAAAAACTTTTATCAAAGTGCTGTATCTTTATGATGGTTTCTGTATTAGCAAAACCTGCAGCATAAAGGTGCCAGTACCTTTACACATGTGGGCCATTGTCCGTTGAGGATGCCCTAGCATAAAATTATTAAGTTAATGTCCATAATGTCAGCAAATGTGGATGCATTAATTGTTTGTGAAATACGCAAGGAAACTCCGAAAAAAAAACTCAATTTTGGTGAATAATCTTCAGAATAAAATTGTACCTCGATGCAGAATTTGTATTCCCTTTGTAGTCTAAGAAGCATAGCCTTCTCACTGTCTCCTCTGTTGCCTCCGCCTCCCTTAACACCACTGCCTTTCCCGCCTCCACTTTTGGCACCACTTGGATGATGTTCATTTATCCACTCCGACCAATAATCGCAGGACGTCACAAATGGCAACTCTGTTGTTACAGGTGAGGAAGTTATAACCTCTGAAAAGAATAAGAAAATATATGATGTTTCATTGTAGAAATGCTACTTTTAGCAACATGAACTGAGAAATAAATTTATAGCAAATTATAAGTTTTCGACTAATCCCAACAGCGATTATTTGCTGTTTTTACATTCAGCTCAGTTTCTGTATTTACATTCTACTGAATCAATTCAATAAAAATCGAGAATTAATTTAACCACATCTAAAACTGAATTGTAAAACCAATAAGCAGGGGTTATAATATTGATATTTATGTAAACGTAACCTACATCAAACAATTTCTATAAAAATATATCGTCTTAAATCTTTTGTAATGAATCTTGCCAAGCAAAACAGTAGTGATATTTACTGATGAAATTATACAAGTTTGGAAGATTTGAGGAAATTTTCAATGAAAAATGATTAAAAACAATTTTTTCCCTCTGAACGAAACTCATAGCTGCGAAATCTTAGATGCATCTTATTCTTTCCCCGATTTTGTCAGGAGAAAAAAATATATTTTTTATTTTTACTGACAGGTTACATATTTCTTAACGTTTTTAATTTTTTTCACAGCTTTCCTTGTCATAGATTTAAGTTTTAATAACATTTTGTTTATGTTGAATTTTTTCCTTTATGCATTGCTTCGTTTGGAGATTGTAGGGCAAGTGACATATTTTAAATTAAAAGCAATCTTAACTAGCATCTGAGGTTGGGGGATTTAGCTCGAGTTGGGTTTTTACACTGTGTTGGGTTCTTAATAGTGCCTGTAGGTTTTAGGATTACCAAGATCAAAATTTGGGTTTAAGTTGGGGAGATATCGAATTTGGATCAGTTGCATCCTCAGAAAGGGCACCATCGGGTGCAGAGTTTTGACGGGTATGATTACTGTAAACTTGGGAATTGGACCTTGGATTGTTTCTTGGATTTGATTTAGGATCATGGAATCAACTGTTCTAGCATTTTTTAGGAAAAGTAGGAATCTCGGAAAAAAAAACCCAAAAGAAAGTGAAAGCTAAAAGTTCCAACGCTTTCAAAATGGATAAGAGCAAATAATTTAAATATGCCGATTCCACAGAGCAGATGGATACCGCCCCGACAAAGGAATCAGATGACCACGTGACAGAGGCCGGACTTGCAAACTCGCAGGCATTGCCCACTCTCATTCAAAATTTGAAGTTCAATCAAAATTTGGGGTTTTCCTACTTTTTCAACATTTTCTGTAAGTTTTAACGAAAATTACTAATCCTTAAAATCATACATATTTAGGATGTTAGGATCCACATTCCATCGTAAAGGAAATACTTTTATTTTTCTTGTAGATTCAACCCTACTTTTCTGTGTGTTCTAAACAAGGACGGTACGAAACAGGCGTGGACACCTAATCTAGGAGAACGAAGACACAATAAGCAAATCTTAGAACACCTAATCTAGGAGAACGAAGACACAATAAGCAAATCTTAGAACAGCTAATCTAGGAGAACGAAGACACAATAAGCAAATCTTGTTCTTTGCGTACAGCGTATGTGACCAATAAACCAAACATATAAGGGGTTCTCATATTCCATTCAAATTCTTTGACTATGTTGTCAGATACAGCTCTATTCAAGGCTGATGATATGACGCTTAATGATATGAACTATGCTTCTCGGCTAACGGACATCGTAAGACGTCGGGTGGAAGATGAAGATCGTCCCTGGCCTCCGACAGAAAAGGTTTCTGAAGAGCCTTAAGTTTTCAAGTATATGTTCACTTAATCCCTAGGCCGAAAATCGTGCCACTTAAGAGGTCGCTCAAAGGCAGAAGAGACGATGCTAAAGAGGGCGGGTATGGGAGCCGCTAATTCATTATAATATGTATGGGATATAAAAAGAAGGACGAAGCTAAAGAGTGGTTTGCCCTGAAAATATTAAAGTTTATTGTGAAAAATTGACCTCCAGGAATCATTCCCTAACTTATATTTGGAACAAGAGACTTTTTTTTTTGATAGTGTGTATTTCAATTGGTTCTTGAGATAGACACTTTCCAAAGTTGATTAAAAGCTATTGTCTATCACAATTAGCCAAATAACACTTAATGGTTTGGCAATCCTTTACATTGAAAATGCAGTAGCTAAAAACATTAATTTTGATAAAGGCTTAAAAATTTTTTCAGAAGTCAAAGCTAGCA